TCTGTATCACTATTCCAACCAGTACGGGTCACTCATGCAGCCTGGCCGCAGATCCACGTCACCACCATCTCATGCAGGCCTTCCTGGTTGCGCTCTCCCTGGCAAGCACGGGACCAGGGCAGCGGATGACTCCGCGACGACAGGTGGAGAGAAGAGCCGGCGAGGTCGGAGGTCAGGTCCGCTGCGGACTGCGCCGACGGATTCGCGACTGCGCCAACGCGCTGACTGCGCGGACTGCACCGACGTGATCATATTTTTAACGTGTTGAACTGTATCCGTAGTTGTTGAGCATCCTCGAGTGGTTTTCTGGTCTATGGCAGCACGTGGCTGCATGGATCAAAGGCTTTGTATACCAGCTGTGCCAACGCCGTAGGCACGCATAGCCAAGTATAAAATGCGTCGGTGACATCGTAGACTCTAGCCTCCAGAGGTAGCAACATATAGCTGCCCTGGGTCGTCCTCGACCGTTAGATATCTGTTGAATGTCAAACGTTCTGTGTGCGTACAATAAACACGCACGGTAGGATTATGTACTGCACATGCTTGTCTGTAGCACGGACAGCAGTTGCTTGCAGCCCATCTTTGCGCAGTAACGCGGCCAAATGGTTCTCGGATTGTTCTTTGCTTTAGTTGCACTGTTTGTAAAGGCTCAGTTAGTGACAGTTTTCACGAGCACATCATTATGGCTGGGAAAACGAATATAAGCTCCGCAGTGTTAATTTCGCATATAATTCGGCACTCTCCTCCCCCGCCCAAGTCCACCGTGGGGGCACCGACGGTCAGCAAAGACCAGTGCGAGGTATTTTCTTACGCCGTTGGAGCTGTAGAAAACTTATGTTTTCTTATAACAAGGGATGCTCACGGCAATGCTGGTTATATTGGTTTGACGGTGTAATCCATTTAACGGCTTGCTTGGACTGGAGACGTTGGAAATATTAGGAGTATCATTAGCGAGACCACAACCTGGCAAGTTCTGCTTGAACACGGCGGAGATCTGCAGATTTCATCGTTGCGATCGGTCTCGGCGATCGCTTTTTCATAAGCACTTTTAAGATAAAAATTGCGGATTTTTGCCTGTAATGTACTATTCTGCATCATGCTTTGTACTGCACCGGATAACCTGTCGTGTACTGCAAAGCACTCACCGAAAGCTGTCCTTCGCTCATACCGACTGTATGCAGCCTTTCGTTGAGCACACCATTCAACAAATGCGGCATTTATCGAGCTATATTTTGTAAAAGTTAGCAACACCCCTCAAATAAGTATTTTTCTGCTCAAACGCCTTTCATACGGATAGATACTTATTGATGCATATTGCCAATGTGAGCTCTGAACGCAGTTTCAGACCACCACCTGCTGTTGTCTTCTGATCCTATCCAGCGTCGCGGAACTGATCCTACCGCCGTCGGTCCGCTCCCGCCGGTCCTCTCGCTGTCGGTCCATCCTCCGCTGGTCCTCCCACCTCCAGTCCTCCCGCCGATGGCCTTACCGCTGCTGGTCCGCCTGCCGCCAGTCCTCCCACCGCTGGTCCGCGGTGGGAGGACTGGCGGCAGGCGGGGCGGAGGAGGACGGGCGGCCATCGAAGAAATCGCAGATGCGCTCAACGCATCAAGTTGATTCGTCCGACGCAGATATTACAAGGAAGACTTTGGCTGTGGAGACTGTTATAAAGGCGTTGCAGGATGATATCGTCAAAAGGCTGCCCCTGTAAACTCACACCATTAACTCTCGCTTGACAAGGGCGTTCGATGACAGCCCCGCCAGGTTTGAAGTTTTTCAATGTTTTTGTCTTGAAGAAACCTCTCCGCTGTGTTGTGCAATTGCCACCAAAATTTGAAAAGTCAATGCTGGATCGATTGCACATGTTTACACAACAAAAATGTGTCCTAGCATTTTGATTTCGGAGCAACAGCGGTTTCCATAAACGCTGCATGGCGATCTACGGCCTGCGCGGGCGACGGGCGGAACAGCTGTTGCCACAATGGCGCGGAACACTCGCGGCGGGCCGACAATGGTTACATTTGCGGAGTCGTACATATCACAAATAACGGATCAAAACACCTCAACCACACACTGTTGTGTTCATCATTACACGAGGAGAACACCTGTTAAGATGTCGTCTGAAGGCATGGTCTCGTATCTATTAGTATGCTAAGCTGAACAAGATTGAAGTTCGGGAGAATGTGGCCATTGGGCTGGCATATTGAGGTGAATTGTTGAACTAGCAGCATGCAGCTCATTAACAATCGCGAGATTTCGTCCAGACCGGGCCAGTCATATTTCCGCTAGTTTGTAAAAAATTGTGAAGCCTGGGTCGCATCGACTAACCTTCCACATTATGAGACATAGCGAATCAGGGGGACGGTGAAGTTAATGAAGGCTAACAAAGGGCTACTTCTCCGTTTGATACATCTAACACGTTCCGCTATTTGTGATCATTTACATAAAGTTTCAAAAATCCCCCTGTTTTAGCTTACCAAAATAGCGTCGTTGTTTTCCTACCAACTGATAAGGTCTTCATGTCCGATAACTAGTGGTTCTCAATTACTCCAGCGTTTCTGCTGATGGGTATCTGGCAGTTTGCTAACATGACGCCGATCCTCAACCCCCACCCCGCTCCCATCCCCTGTAACGCTATCTGTTGGGACGGCGCACACGTGCGAAGACAGACACCTCCGGGGCTCATAATCCACCCTCTCCTCGGCTATCGGCTATCAGGTACCGGCTTTGCGTTGAAATCTGACGCTAGACCAGATTAATCTAACAGCTCAAATCAGTCGGCCCCCCCAGCACGGGCAGGGCAGGTAACCCTCGCCGACACTAACAAGCCAGAGCATCGCTAAGATTTGGCCGGTCTGGTCTGGTTGGGCTGGGCAAAGTTGAGGTGTATCCTCAGTTGGAACGCGTTAACGTATTGCCAAGTTCACCATGGCGTGTCGTCGTTCCTTATGTGCACAGTATGGCATAGCACATGCAGTTATAATCTGTCAATAGCTTTTTCGACCACGTAGAACGCTCGGATTGATATTTGCAATGATGTGCTAGTCACGCACACTGGCATTGCCTGACACTGGGGTGATACAGCCACCTCTGCGCTTCCAGGCATCAATAACTGAATCTGGAAAAAGGGAAAGTACAATCGTCAGTTGCGTCGTGTGAATTGTAATCACGTGTCGTATGTCTGTGCTGACGTAATGTAATATGTTTTCGTCATTGTCGTCATGCATCACATGTCGTATGCTGTCGCATACAGCATGCTGCGATACAAAACGAGTGATTACACAACAAAACAAATACGCAAAGGCCCCGATTACACGCATGTATATATATATATATATATATATATATATATATATATATATATATATATCTATATCTATATCTATATCTATATCTATATCTATATCTATATCTATATCTATATATCATGCCAACACCATTTACGAGTAGCTTTCAAAACCCGGCTTCAAAAAAGTATTTAGCCATGATATAAGCTATCAACAACATCCCTGGTACTTTATGCTTTGCCAAACGTAGAACACAAGCTTATGCAAACTGTGAACGCAGGATTGTTTACAATAAAAGTGATTTATAAGACGAAGGTACAGGCATATGCGTACATGATTCCAAGTTAACTGATGAGAGCGCATATAACCGCTAAATAATGTACAACTGATAAGCGGTTTTTTGGCACACCTATTTAAGAGATTGTGTCACGAGCGAAACATGTGTTTGGGCTGACTTCATGTCTACTGGCAAACGTTTTCTACTGATGATTATACACGTGACACGCGCCTACTGATGGACTGTCCCTGAATGTTAAAAAACGAAGTGACTTGAGACTTGAAAATGAAATGAAAATGAAATGAAAATGAAATGAGACTTGCAAAGAGCTAGGTTGAGACCGCATAGCCCTTTTATTGCATTGAAAGGCAAATAAGCCTCAACAATGACATGTTTGGCTAAGGCAGCTAAGAGATGTTCGCAGAATGAGCACATTAACACAGGGTCGATCAGATATGGAACATATCTTATTGACATCCGATGCTCATTTTCAGAGGTTGTTTTGTAACAGGCTGTTAAACGAGCTAACGTTCTGCTATATGAAGTGTTTTGTGACTTCATTGCGAGTTGTAGGACGAAAAAAGTCAGTACGCCGTAGCAAGAACCATGAGCGCGTTTTGACCAACACTGTTTCCTCTGTCGGACCCATTCTGTCACTTGTTGATGGTTCTCTAACACATAGCCCGCCACGTAAAGTTGCAACGGTTCAGCTAACAATGCTCGAATTTTGGAATACATGCGATTTATTTTATATCACTGGAACAGGTTAATACGACACAGATGAAGCAAGCATCCCTGGATGGCCGCTCTGGCCAGTTGTTCGTCTTCCCCTCGTTAGACTTTGTCCAGCACTCCTCAAGGCCTGGCCCGCTCTGTCCATCTTTGTCCATCACTCCTGCCGCGCTAGACCGTCGTAGTGCGCTCCAAATGCTGTTCCGGGGCGGCCCGCAGTCTACGACCGTGAGGCATAGGCGGCCTTGGCAATGGGTCACGTCGATCGCGAGTCGGGTCCATGCTGTCGGGGCGCCGAGTGAGCCGGACCGCCAGCGAGTTGGCGCCGGGTCAATCGAACGGCACACATCGCACTGGCTGACGACGGCTCGCACGTCGGCCCTGTGCGACGTGTCTGCCGAAGTCCTGTCTGGCGTACCACAGGGACCGGCGGATCCCCTGGTACCCCGTCCTCTCGTGTATGCCTTTAATCCGGGCACGAACGTCGTTTGTCGTGGGTTCGTGAGCGGCTTCTTGGTCCGCTGGGGTGTCGCGACTTCTTCCGGCCCGATAGGCGCGGAGGCCGAAGTTGCATTTCGCGGTGGTGCCGTGAAACATTCTGGCGCGGCGGCTGCTGCGGCTGAAGTCGCATCTCGAGGCTCTGCTCGCGGCCAGGTCTAGGAAACTCGGGCGAGCGCGTGGGCAGGATTGTCTTTTGACCGCACCGACTGGAAGGTCACCGAGAGCTGGAACTCGTCGACCAACTGTCGCATGAGGCCAATCCTGCGCCTGATCAGCGTCAGCGCCCGCTCATGGCGCACTCAGCCACTTAAACACTGTGGTCCAGTCCGTGCGTAAGCTGAAGCGCTTGACGCCCCATGCCAGGGCCATGTTCACGCCACTCATCGCCGCGGCCAACTCGGGCATGTTGATGTGCTCCGCCGCCTTGTACTCTGGCCGTAGCCACGCGGCATCCTCGAGAACACCGCCTTCCGCATCCTCCAGGACTACCCCGTTCGCGATGGCGCTAGCGTCAGTCTGCATCACGAGCTCCCGGCCGACCATTCGCCACGGCCCACGAGCAGGGTCAGCTGCCCTCACCCGCGTTGCGACTTCCCGGACATGCGCAAACAACGCATCATCCGACATCGGGTCGTCCCATCCGATCGTCAGGCCGTCCACTCACCTTTAGCCAGGCAGCTGCTGACCGCAACCATTCCGCGACGGGGAGGTGCGCCACCAACTGGCCGCACCACGCCACTGCACGCCGGGTGAGCGCAGTCGGCGGTGCAGGCACCTCATTGTCTCGACACCACTGCAGCTCATCCTCCCGAGCCTTGACTCGAAAACCGTGCGTTTGCGCTCCGTCCGCGACGCGCTCCGGTGGCTTGCAGAACAGCCCGTACCTCGCAAAGTGCCCCATCACCTTGTCGGCGCTGACCACGTCTTCGTGGACGAGCAAGTCGTCCGCATAGGCGAGCACTCCCCGACTGATCGCCTCGCTCTCACGCAGCACTGCCTGAACAACGGCCTTCATGATCAGGGGCGCAACATTAAGGGCGAATCCGAGCCGCGTGAGGCTGTTCGTGCGGCCCTTGTAATGCAATGTAAATGCCGCCCTCGACCTGCGCCGTCTGATACGGCCACAGTCGGCGCTCCAGACGCAGCTGCAAGTATATTTTTCGAAGGCTGACCACGGCCAACCGAGAACCATGCTGGCGCCAGCGGCGCAACTGCTCAGCGCACACGTTAGCATCCGCGGTGTGTGCGGTCACATGCCGGTTAACTTCGCGGTGGTCCAACACCGGCCTAACCTTCCCCTTGTGCGGCTGTTGACCTACTATCAAGAGAATCAGGCCCCGAGTGGACCCGTCCTCCTGCTCGTCATAGGGCCGGAGCCATCCGTTCGCCACCCACCCAGCCCACCCGCGCTCGTATGCCTCTCGTGCTTCATTCGGCACAGCGCATTCGCTCCAGGTGTTCCCCAGACGTTCGGGACCACGTCCGTGCGCCCACTTCCACGCCACACTCCAGTGAGCGCAGTCGAACTGGGCCGTGAAATCCGTCGCTTCCAACGCCAGTGAGCTTCGCGTGCCGCTGCCCGGCGTCGCCGAGCTCGTCCATGCCGGCTCGTCACTTGCCGACTCCGGCGCCCCCTGCGTTGCCGCACCCAGCTGCACGTCAGTCGGGGATCGAACACTGATGCCTCCTAGCGCGGTGATGCCGGACATACCGATTAGCACGTCCAACCTCAATGGACGATCCGGGACCACCAGCGCCGCGAGCATTACTCGCTAGCCTCTGTAGTCGAACGTCATCTGGGAGGTGCCCACGCACCGCAACACTCCATCGCTCACCGTTGGCATCTTGACAGCGCACGGGTACCACGTGCGGCAGCAGCTCACGTGAACCAGGGCGTCCGTACATTCCGTGTCGAGCAGGGCACGCCGGGGTGGCGCTGGTCCACCAGCAGTGTCACGACTGGAAGAGCGTGCGCTACTGCTCGGGGCACTGCGCTGGCGCCAACGCAGCCCCTCTGCCCGTTTGGGCACGCCGCTGCCAGGTGACCCGCCTGTCCGCAGGTCCAGCACTTCCGGACGGGTCGCCCTGCCGGTCGCGCCTGTCGGGTTCCTCGTTCCTCGTGCGCTCTAGCCGCTGCTGCCGCCGCACCGGCACGTTCGTCGCTCAGCACTGCCCGGGCTCGCACCAGGATGCTCGCCAGACTCAAAGCCTCTGCCCGGAGCCAGCGCGGACAATCCTCCACACCTCGTCGGGCAGGCCGGCGACAAAATCGCACGTGAGCACGTTTTCCGGATGTCAGACGAGTGTTCGAGCCGCCGTCCAGTTCCGGACACGCGATGCCGGTCCAGCAGCTGCGTCGGTGCCCAGCTGACAAATTAAGGTGATGCACTTCAAGGAGGGCTTAAACGTGGCTGTATTGAAGTTCGAAATGTGATAAATAAATATAACTTAACTCAGTGATGACCCACTCAGCCGAGCCCATTATAATGCCAAGGCGCAGAAAATAAGGGGGGGGGGCATCCGTATGCGAGCCAAGGATGAGTGGGATGACGTGGGCACCAGCGTATGTGAATGCTTGGAGTGAGTGTGGTGGGGCGCCGAGTCCATGGAGTGTGCGGTGATTAGTTAAGGCTGGGGAGTCCCAGGGTTGCTATCCAGTGGGCTCTTGCCAATATAATTCGCTGGTGCGCTGGACCCTTGCAAGTTGGGCGTATTATCATGCCTGCGGTTCCGTTTTTGCCCCGTTTAAATATTATCATAAGCTAAAGGCTGGAGGTGCGGTACCGTGGTTAAGGGCGCATAGCCATAGGCGCGGAGACAGCCGTTTATGGTGCCTGGTCGGGCCCACCATCCCATCAATGCCCCGGCCAATCGCTTCATCCTTGCTCCGTGGCTCACATGAGTGTGTGTTGATGTAGGGTGTGCCGGAGCCGCAACGTGCTGAATTGTGCGCTAACATCATCTGGCTCGTACGCTGACCAATGGGTTCCTCATTTTAGATTTGTTCTTGTGGGGAGGCGTAGTGGCGGTAGCCGGCGGCGCACAACATCCGGCGGCGGCCAGGCAGCCGCGCACGCCACCCACCGCAGGCCCCCCCCCCCCCCCTCCACAGAGCTGCGCCAACCGTGGGGCGCGGGGCGCGTTCAGGAGGCTGCGGAACTAGTGCTTCAGCACGGTCTCGCAGATGCAGAGTATCTCGCAGCGGTACAGGCGCGAGTTCACGCACGTCAGCATGCCACGGACCGCGCGCGTCAGACGAGGCCGGGCAGCCGGGCGGAGGACTCGGCTCCGTCGAGAACCAGCGCGATCGGAATCACACAGAAGGCATGCTGCATGCTTTCTGGCTTTGCTCTCCGTCCATGAAATTCCGCTAAAAATTGAGCGTGTCGCTCGGCCTATCGCAGCCTTTTACACTGCAATCTCCTGACTTGAATTGTCTTGACCTGGTCAAGCCAGACTCGTGGCCATTCAGTTGTTAAGCATCGTGATCGTGACCTGGCGTGAGAGCGCTACACCAGGGGACTTCCACTCGTTAAAGGAAATGATCTCTTCCGGCGCATTGGTCGTGCCAGTTCGTTTTGGTTCTAAAAATTGTTTGCGTGCGTATTTCCGGCTCTGGTACGACCTGTATGCTGATAATTGATCGCTCCCATGTCCATTTATTCACTTACGTTTGACGCTAGTCAATGCGCTTTATTAGTGGCGTTATCATTGATAGTTAAACATAGATGACAGCAATTTTATAATGTAGGCGTTGAATTTGAACGCTTCATGTGCCAGAGTATACGAAACCAAGGGCAACTCACCAGGGTGCCAGCGGTGCAACGGTTAGACTGCTCCTCCGGAAAACAATAAGTAATGGGCTCGACCGAGCGTTGTGATTTAAGCTATGCATATAGAGATGCAATTAGTCAACTCCTAAACGGAAGGCAAGGATCAACAGTACAAAATTATTATTAAATTAAAATTACGCTACCGAACGGAAGGGGTGGTCAGGGCTCACACAACCAGCACTCGTTAAAGGCAGCTCTTATTAAGGAAATCCATTAATTCAAACGATTGAAATATCCTAAGCAAAAAACAGTAAACAATTGCGTCAGGAATCTAAGTGTGTTTGGACTGACATCATTAACACGCCAACTAATGAATTGTCCTGAAATGTTAACAACTAATCTATTATATTTGAGAAGCAGAGTTGGGGATGCATGACACTGTTTATCGAAATCAAAGGCAACTACATATTCGCAGTGGTATGTTTCACTAATGGGATTTGATATTTGCTAAAATTATGGCCGCATAAATACAGCGCCGGTCAGATTTTGAACATATACTGTTGGCCTCTGATGCTATGCACTTTCAGCGGTGGTTTTGCGATATTCTGCTGAATGTCTTGCCCTGTTTGCTGCATGCTGGCATGCATTTTGGTAAATTCACTCAGGGGATCTAATAGGTACCCAAAGCATGATCACATATATACAGCTTCGATCAGATTTCGAACATATTTTAATCATCTTCGACGCTCTGTTTTTTTAGGTTGTTTTGTGACATGTTGCCGAATGTCCGTTGATAACTTGCCCTGCTTGCAGCATGCTGGCATCAATTTCCGAATCATGAAACTGATTTATTTGCAACTCAAAGTTTCCGTTGCAAACTTATTCTCCCCCAAGAATTTATGAGATCCAGGCCATTGACTTTGGAAAAATGCCAATTATTGCGGGAGTTGTTGGAACAAAAATAACGAGATCGAAAAAAGAAGCGTGAGTGCGACATTGAGCCCCATTGTTACCTTGGTTGAACTTCTTCGCCCCTTTTCGAGATATAGCTTTCCAATGCATATCTTACCGTAAAATTGCAAATGTTCAGCTAAGAATGCTCGAATTTTGATAGATATCCGATTTTTTTGCATGACTGGAATAGGTTCATAGAGACAAATGAAGGAAACATCCCTGGATTGCAATTCTGACCAGTTGTCCGTCTTCCCCTCGTTGGATTTTGTCCAGCACACCTCACAGAAGTAGCGCTCGGGAGGATAATGAGCACCGGAAGCGACTGATTTCGCGCGCGGAAAGGATGCCAAATTGAGGGGGATCGAGGCTTTTTGTTCACACCTTGTCAGCTATACGCCCCAGGAAACGGGCATACCTGGGGAAAGGGTTGCAAGAGCTTCTTGTTTGCACCTCGTCGGCTAGGCATGAGTTGCAATGCGGTGTTCCCGGCCTTTAGTATTAGGAAGGCGTTCGAGGGTGGGGTATTCTGCATTCTGAGCGGTAAAAATGCAACCACACCAGAATCATACCTTTGCATTTGTTCAAAAACACTCTATATGATGTTAGCAAGCGGTCTGTATTGCACAATTCACATTCTTGCGGGAATCAAACAAATGGTCTTATGAAAGTACGTACTTTTTCGAGAAAGATCTGGCCAATTTGTGATATTGTCAGTGGTCCATCAACACATACTTTTGTCATGGATTTTGTTGCTCGAATCCGGTCTTCAATAAGCATTGTAGGTGTTGAGTTAAGCTAAGTGGTATGGAAACCGGCATGAACCACACATAGGCTTTCAGGAGTAGACATTTATTCGTCAAAACAAACGTTTTATGTATTGCCATGTCAATGCCCTAACTTGTGACCGTCGCTCTTCGACAAACATTTAGTCGTACTCCTTCAATGAAGGATAACATGTGATTTTGTACATGTTCGATTGATGATGGTGACGACGTTAGAAAAGACACAACGCGTTGCTCTTGATAAAACGATTTCACGGTGGACCAGCAAGAGCGAGGAGCGTTTGCCGTCCCACATTACACAGTGCTAAACTTACTTTTGCGATAAGTTTAAACTCGTCCATTTGCCAGGTGCTGAATTTCTTATGTTTTACCAGCAGCCCGCTATCCTCTTATGTAATGCAATCAATTACTTATGTCGTGGCTTTGTTTTCCAATATTTGTTTTCACTCTACATGATCTATTTGCGCAACCGGGGCTATATCTGGTGAGCACGTGTTACTTGAAGTTGGGACCTGTTATGTAAGTTCATTACTCTTCTGTGCGGAGTACGGCTAGTTCGTTTAGTCGGTTAGCTCGGGTTTGGGTGCGATTTTATAGTCCTTTGGATCCCGAAGAGAATCAGAAAGACAATCACTTCGCAATGGTTTAACCAACGCTAGAGATAGCTCGTCCTCATGCCTCCTTTTGTCATATCGCATCAGGAAGGAACTAGGATTGTCTGCATGACGTTCACAATGTATTCACGGTTCACAAGCTTTGTTCTGCACGTGCTGTGCCGTATCCGCGGCCCGGCTGTCCATCTCTTGTGCGAGAGCAGCTCCAGCGACGCAGGCGGGCCTAGTACGAGCTGCCGCGACTCGCCGTACCCATCCGCTTCATCGTGGCCGACCCGGACGGCAGTAGCGGCTTGGAGCGCGGCCTGCCCGGCCTTTTCTGCGCGCTGTGCGACGCCTGCGCCGCCGCCAAGGTAGGCCAGCGCTGGGCCACGCTGGAGCCACTGCTGCGTGCGCCCGACAGTCGCGACGGCTGGCGTCCGGTGCGCACGCCGTCCGACCGCACCGCGCTCTACCTGTTTAGTCAGTACGTGTACGGCGTGCGAGAGCGGTCGGATGCTGCCGGTGAGCCGCCCATAATACTCACGCCGCTCGAGGACTCGGCGCTGCTTCTCTAGAGCCGCTCTCAGGCCGTTGGCTTCGTCGCGCTCAAACGGCGCGGTCAGCTGATCGACGGCGGGCCCGAGACGTTCGCCATGAACGTGGTGGACATGGTGGTGGTGCGGCGCGCGTGCCGGCTCCGCGGCCACGTCATGCGCCTGTCAGACATGCTGCTGGGCGA